TGGGGTTGTAAGTGAGTATGCTCGAGACAACTAGGTCTTACGGAAACATTACAGTGAGGGGAAAAAATCAGCAAAGATCAGAACCTTTTATTTAGTTATCTAGTGCATTTCTGTCCAATAGAAAGTTCCATATTAATGGAAATGTTTTGAGCTGTGAAAAATGGCAGCCACTAGTTCATATTGGATACCAAGCCCTTGAAATATGGTTAGTTGCATCTACAAACCTGAACCTTTAATTAAATTTTAATTAAATAGTCCTATATAGCTAATGGCTACCATATTGAACAGTACATTTGCAGACATTGGGATATGACAAGATCAGAAATGTGCTTCAGGAGAAATAATCTGAAACTGATTACAAAGTACATTGTAGAAGAGGCACTTTAAAGATAGATGAGTTCCGAGGCAGAATAAATATGTGGGCTAGTGGGGTTTTTAAAATAAAACAAAATGAAAATATTTTCTTAACATAAAAAATATAAAACATAAAAAGAATTGACCTTGTTAAAAGTGAGAGGCAGTATGGGATTCTGCTCAGAGGACAAACCACTTTTCTGTCTTCCCACCCACAGAGGGCCCTGAGGAATCTCCCTGGGATTTGCAAGAACTACTTAGAACTCAGTTAACTACTAAGCTAGGACAAAGGGATTGATTGAGATGTTCCACCAGGGTGGTAGGAGCAAAGAAGAGGAATAAATCTGGGAGACCTTCTGGAAATCGAATCAATAGATTTTGTCATCTAATTGGGTATAAGGTCTTGAGCATCCATCTGCTTACTTGTTTGTCTAAACCCAAACCCTGTTGTTATCTGGAATTTCCACCCATTATACAATCATACCAACTATAATAGCTACCTCAAAAATAAAGTATCCTGAACTGACATAGAATTAATGTGCACAATGGGGCAGAGCTGGGAAGAGTCAGGGTTCACTCCCAGGTCCATGGATGCCAGAACTTTCCCTACAGTTTGCCTCCCCTTCTCCCATGATAACACAGTCACAGAAGCCAAGGCAGGAGTGGTCACTCAATGATTTTAAACACAGCAACAAAGTTGATAAAAGGAAGACGGATATTAAGTTAGAAGCTAATTTGAGTTGAGTTAAGAGAAGAAAGGTGGGTGGGTTCAGAAGTCAGGGTGCCAGGATTTCAGAGATTTAGGCTAAAGAGGAATGAAGGTGAGAAAGTGAAGGCATGAATACCAACTACTTCTTAATTTCTTGATACATGAAGGAAGGAGGTAGTGTACACTGGGAACACAGTCATGCACCATACAGCAAAGTTTCAGTCATGACAAGATCCCAAATGTGACAGTGGTCCCGTAGGATTATATTACCTACTGATGCAGCCATCTTGGTTTGTGTAAGGCATTGTATGATATTCACATAATAAAAACCTCTCCTAATGACACATTTCTGGGAACATATTCCAGTCATTAAGTGATGCATGATTGTACTCAGTTAGGTTCCTACTGTTTGATTTTCTGCTTCTGTGAAATCTTAGTGAACCATGAAGGACTCCATGTCCTTTCAAGGATGTCCTTGGTCATCATTTAGAACCACATGGTCTTACCACCAGACTGATAAGACCAGAGAGAGATGACTGATGGGGCCAGCCATCACCAGGCTATGCAATGGCTGATAAAGGGTCTGGTGGAAGAGCAGAGTGGTCCAACAGAGGCAGTTTGTGCAGTGACTGCTGACTGGCCAGCCCACTCAGGTCCACGTCCTAGAGTTGGAACTCAGAGACATCAGAGAGACCACGAGGCAGCAGGAGCAGTAGAGGCAGAAAAAAAGTGGAGGTCTCTGTCTGATGACGTCATTTGGAGTAGAGACCAATGGATTTCTTCCCTAAAGAAACAAGATGACCAGATTCATGGGGCTTCACGGTACCTCGAACAATGTTTTCTTTTCTACAGAGCTTTGCTGGAGGTGGCTTAAATCCTGTCTTGCTTCCTTCCCTTTGCATTCTATGAAAAAAAAAAACAAACAGGACAACAAATGAAAGAATCCAAGTGTGATTCTGTTTCTGGTAACCTGAAAGAATATGTGGGATTAGTCTTGAAGAGAGAGTAAAGTGGAAGGGTTAATGTCCTTGCAAAAAGTAATCCACGGGGCCAGGTTCTTAAAAAAGAGTTTCCAATGGCCACAAGTCCAATTAGGTCCATTTTTAGAATGCTATGGGAAGAACTGGGTCCTCTCCAAAATTCATGTGCTGACATTTTAACCCCTAGTCCCTCCGAATATGACTGTATTTAGAGATAGGGTCTTTAAAAGGTAACTCATGTAAAAGGAAGGAATACAGGGTGGGCTCTCACCCAATCTGGTTGGTATCTTTAAAGGAAGAGGAGATGACAATACAGATCCCTAGAGGAAAGACCATGTCAGGACACACGGAGAAGATGGCCATACCCAAGCCAAGGAGAGAGGTCTCAGGAGAAACCAATGCTGCCCTCACCAGAACTATGAGAAAAATAAAAGCAACAGAATATAGAAAAGATTTAGTCTAACCCTTCACTTGACTCTTGAAGACTTGACTCTTGAGTCCGGAATCATGCACCTTGTATCAGTACTAGGTTCAGGCCTCAGGGGGGGGTCCCGATTCCCAGCCCAGAAGCCTTCCCATCTGTCACGCCCCAAATCTGACTTGTGTGCGTTTTCAGGAGGGAGAGAGATGGATGAAGGAAAGATCAGACAGAGCACTGGAATATAATCCATCATGGGAAAGGAATGGATAGGAAAATTATTGTCAGATTCAATAGCTTCTCGTAAAACCCTATGACTCCTGGGCTACCTTATTCTTAATGACTTTTGGGTGTTTTGCATTCTTATCCCCATTCCTAGGTTTGTTCCTAACTGAGGAAAATTACTGGTTGCAGACATTCCAAAGTGACTTCAGCAAAATTAAATATGTGAACCAAAGTCAGACTAATGGGGCTGAACTTAACCAAGATCTTATTCTTTTCTTCAAAGTTTATAGCTCTGATCTGTTGATCCTTTTCCAGAGCCTCCTTTGATTAGAAAAAATCCAGGACAGCTGAGAAGTTTGTGAAGCAAAGGAGTTGTGTTTAAGTGTTTTATAATTAAATTTTATCTCCGTTTTAGTGTCTGTTGTTTTTTTGGGAACACGTGTACCTTATCGGGTATTAAGGTATTTATTTATTTTTAACACTAGGGCTTCACACTGCCAAACTAATTTTCTCTCTCAATCCGCTTTTAGTTTCAGGTGATAAGCTTTTAAAAGCACAGCTCTGTTAGTTCTAGGAGCCTTAGACTCACTGTCTTATGGTCTTCCTGTCCCCTACCACACTCCTGTTTCCTACCCCAGGCTGTCCTAAATCTCCAATTTCCCCTCTGAGTGGTTGTCTTCCATTTATTTCATTTGGAGATAAGGCCAGGCTTTTGCATCTGAGTGAAGCAGGGCTACCTGAGCTGCGTTTGTTGGGAAGTCTCTCTGGATAATCCAAAGTCACACAGGAAGGGGAAATTCCTGGAGACTCTTTCAGTCTGTCTGAGAAAACCCATCGTTTTCTTCATGATTCTGTGGATGAAATTCAAGCCTTTCCACCTGGTGTCATTAACACAGAGCCAGGTCTTGTGCTGGTGAACCTCGTAGCTTGGGCCCTAGATTCTGCCTGCCATAGACACCAACATATACATAGAGACCACCGATCTAGTCCACACGCATCATCTGTTACCCTTCTGTTTGTGACTGCTACAAACCAGAATGCTGGTGGCTCTGAGAACTGGGCTTTATGTTCACTCTCAATGAATGGAGAAAAGATAAAAAAAAAAAACAGGCCCGATTCATAAGGACCAGTAACACAAAAGGTAGTGTTCACTTGAAAACAGGATCCAAAAGAAAGCATCCTAATCCAGGTTTTTATGTTGGCACCATAGAGTATTTTCACTGCCAGCAAGGAGGCATTATATCAGGTTTAAAGGATGGGGACTTTTATTTTATTTATTTATTTATTTTTGGGTGGTTCTGGGAATGAAAACCACAACTTCACTCAGGCTGAGCACTACCGCACTACCAAGCTACATCTCGGCCCTTGTTGGCTTGTTGTTAACAAACCTTTAGAGCATGTTTTAAATTTAAGTTATGACCCTTTAGAGCATGTTTTAAATTTAAGTTATGACCCTTGAAATTTATCTCAGTTAGATGGTTACCAGCAGATGATGCACAAATTAAATAATAATAAGGTCTTGCAAATCAGCTTCTTAACAATAATAAACAAATGCAGGTTTATTTGTTTGTTTTTTTCCATTAAGAATACTCTTTTTTACTGAATTTCTTTTAAACTAACTATACCCAGACACAAAAGCAGTCCCTGCCACCCAATTCCTTATTAGTCTATGGCTTGCTCGCCAATAAGTGGAGCTATAAATTAAAGGAAGAAACTGCCTCCCCTGGCTTTTATTAATCGCAAGCCTTAGGGAAAGACAGGCAAAGTCCTCGTTGCTTCTATTTCCAATCACTTAAGCCTCTTTTGGAGAACTTTCTTCAATGCATGTCAACTTTCTGGAACTCTGGAGAGCATTCAGGGAACGAGAGAAGTGATAAATAGTTTGGAAATGAGGATCAAAAGGAAGGCATTAAGAGAACTTGGAATGTTTAGTCTAGAGCAAAGGAGAACTAGAGGGGACATACTTTTCCTAACTGTCATAAACAAGACGAGAGCCATTTTTCTTTTTCACCCAGGAGTAAGGAAGTAAGAAGATGTGAATAAAGGCAGATGCATTGGATTTGAATTTAATATAGTTTTTTCATTATTTTTTTAAAATAATGAAGTGCTTAGGAACTCAGAAATTTGTCCTGGAGTGAGACAGGTCAGTCCGGAGATGAAGAATGTGGCAATAACCATCATGGAGACAGGAGAATCAACCTCTTCCACACTCCAGAGATCCAGGAATACATTCTGTTGATTGCTAAAGTAGTAGGAATGTTTACCTCCAACTGCAGCTTAACACTCAACCACGGTGGTTAAATGCCTGTTGCAGGTGGGCACTGAAGCAGTCATTCCGGCTCACACAGAGGACTCCATACCTGAGAGCCATTCTAGTGCTTCACGCTGAGGACTGCATTTCACCTTTACGACAACCATATAAAGTGGGTGCTGTTTTTTCTCTATTTTTGCTAATGAGGAAATGGGGGAGGGAACTGTTTATTTGCTGGATGTCAAACCTTGAAGTTATAAATAAAAGAGCTAGGATTTGAACCTGTGTCCTCTGAGAACACCATGGTGAGACTAAAGTGCATGAGATTTATTAGGAGCAACACCTATGGAAAGTAAAGGTGAAGCAACAGGGGGCGAGTGGACAGGGAAATGCTTCAGACGGATAGGCAGCTGTGAAACCCGAGGATGGAGAGGGCGAAGGAAAGACTGGGGGTGAGCCAGGGGGACAGCTTCAGGTCGCTGCCCAGATCCTGGGTCAGGCCAATGGTTGGGGAGGTAGATCAATGGGAGAAACTGGCCTTGGGTGGAAGAGAGCTAGCCTAGGATCCCACACTGCTCAAGGGCTGCCAGGGAGTAGTCCAGGCTGTGCTTTTATACACCTGGCAGCCCAGTAGGACTGTTTGCAGCTGGCATCAATACAGACAGGGAAGCAATGCATGGTGCTGTGACGTCACTCTGACTGCCTCACCACCAGGCAGCCGGGATTTTCCAGCTCTGTTATATTCTTAGGGAACTACCAACAGTCAGCTGTTGACCAAAACCTCCTCAGCCATCCCCGCTCCAAGCTCTCTAACCCTCCTCTCAGGCATCTCCTTAAGCACAGCTGGTCACACTGCTTTATGGAATCCTCTTTCTTTTATTTTACACTCCCCAGCCTTTCTCTTACCTCTCTGCTCTCTGACAGTTCTTTATATTTCTGCCGCTGGGGTCTCCTCTTTGATTTATTAGAGTGCACCTTCCCCGGCTCCCTGCAGCGCTAGCTTCTCTTCTCTACCTACACTATCCCCTAGGGAAGTAATCACATCTGTAGGTGTGAGGCATCATTGGTCTGAAGCAGTTACTTGATTCTCCTCCTTTTCTTTTTCTTCTTTTATGTACTGGGAATTGAATCCAGGTCCTCAACCATGCTAGGTAAGCACTCTACCACTGAGTCACAATCCCAGCCCTTTGTAAAAATCATTTTATTTTGAGACAGGGTCTCATTCAGCTGGCCAGGTTGGCCTTGAACTGGCGATCCTCCTGCCTCGGCCTCCCAGGGAGCTGGGATTTCATTCCTCACCTGTCTTCTAAGCTCTCGACTTGAATAGCCAATTTTGTTAGTCAATATTTCTATCTGACCTCTCTAACAATATCTCAAAGACGCATCAGTTTTCTCCTGTCTTCCAACCTGTTTCCTCCCTAGTTGTCTCCATCTTGGCTAACAGCATCGACTCCCCACCCAGAAACTCAAGTCTTGATTTCTCTTTCCTGACCCAGCTGTGAGTCTGGTGGCTCCACCTTCTATATACATTTCAAATCCGTCTACTTCATCCATCTCCATCCCCATCAAACGACTCTCTCTGCACCCCCCTCATTTACTTGGATGACTGCTCTTGCCTCTGTGTCTCCGTGGCCACTGCCCCCGATCCATTCCCAAGCAGCAGCCAGCGAGATGTTTTAAAAATACAAATTGAGTCATGCCATTCTCATGCTTAAAACCATCCGGTTATTTCCTTTTCAAAAGCACTGAGAATAAAATGCACCACTTTCCCCAACTTTCAAGACTAGTTGGTGTGGCCTTTATTGAACCCATCTCACCTTGGACCTTTCTCCTCCCTTATTTCCTAGACCCTGCTCATGTGGCCATGTTTTTGCTCCCCATGATTCGCCATGATGCTTTCCACTCCGTGGTCCTTGCCTCTGATTTCCTGCTGCCCCTTTGCCTAGAAGGCTCCTCCTCAAGTGACGGGTTTTCACTTTTGTTCCTCGGGTTCCTCAGAGCAAACCTCTCTGATGACTGTTTCAAAGGGAGCTGTTGTCATCACCACGCCCACTTCATTTTCACAAATGCTGCTCCTGTCAGTCGTGATTATTGGCTTGTTTGCCTCCTCCTATTGTCATGTCTTCCTCCACAAAAACGTGAGCTCCAAAGAGCAGATACTGGCTTGGTCTTATTCACTGTGGCCCTAATCACTGCCGGTCCACCATGGATATTCAGTAAGCATTTGTTTAATGAACAGATGAATCGTTTTCAGATTATTTAAGCTATATTCGTTTCTCCTTGACTGTCTGACCGTCTACTCCTTGGTAAAGTATCCAACCATAGAGGGAGGAACATGTTTCATTTTCAACTTAAATATGTGTTCAAACATGTTTTCATTTTCAACTTATATATGTGTTCAACTTAACATATTGAAGGGAGATTGTTGTTCTATCTTAGCTCTTGCGTACTCTATCCCTTCATGGTGGCAAATGACGAGATATTAAGTTTTAAGAGCCATCAGACTTTCATTAGCAAACATTTCCTAACCTTTTCTGTTTTCTAGGTCTTTTCTGAATTTTATTTAATCTGAATTTAGAATGTAGTCATCTCTACGGAAGCCGTTGCTTGCATGTAATTTTCGATTGTGGAAATTCTAGAAATCCTACAAAATTAACATTTTTGTTTATTTCAAATACATTGGTTCCAAGACTATGTCATGCTAACTCCTCTTATTCTCAAGAATTACAAAATAAAGATGGTGATAAGGAATTCATTGCTACAGTGTCTTGGGATATGAAATTGTATCCATAAAAACACTGATGTAATACTATGAGCTCATAATATAAATGGATAGCAAATCATTTTGTGGCATATTAGATCATGAAGATATTTGGGTATAATTTTAGAGGAAAAAAATAAAGCAATGTTGCGACTAACAGGTGAGTGGCTTCAAACCACAACTGGGCAATCTTAAATCCTGATTTGAGGAAATGTTTGCCAAAGCTTTTTTAAAGTCAACACATAGAATAGTCTAGAAGATGGGAAAGAAGTACGTCTAAAACATCACAGGGGAAAAAAAATAGGTTAAATATAAAACATTGCTGATCAAGATAAATGATCCAATGGAAATTACTCTTATTGGAATAAAATACAGAAAGAGGAAGAGAAAGGAAGAGTTTAAGAGATGCCGGAGCTACTGTAAGTGTCTGAGATCAATCTCTTGAGCTATGCATTCAGGAACACAGCGATTAGTGTTGACTAACCATTTACTCTAAGCCTTTATACCTCACAGCCTGCTCAACCACAAAGCACGTGCCAACAGCAACCAGAGCTCAGCAAGGGACGGAGGGTCCACGTTGCCTGGAGAGGTTCAGGTCGACTTCTTGGAAAGAACAGGACTTTAGTGAAACCTTGCTGGATGCTTAGGGGTCTTGATACAGAAAGGTGGGAGCAGGAAGAGAGAGAGATGCACAAAAGCAAAAAAACACAAACAAATTAGATCACCTCACCTCCAGGAAAAAAGGCTTTCAAAGGTTTCCTGACTGAAATGGAACATGGAATACAGAGACAAAAATTTAATGGAATGGCCCCACGGTGGGCTTTGCCTGTTAATCTTCGGGTGGGTGGGCAGTAGAAGCAACTGGAAACATGAAGAAAGGGTGGCATGAAGGGGTGATGTTTTAGGAAGGGAAATACTTGCTTGTATCAGTCCTGTTGCAAAGAGGTAAGTCTGGATCTTGAATGTTCTCCAAAGGCTTGATCCCCAACCTACAGTGCTACGGGGAGGTGGTGGCAGCAGCTTTGTGAGGGGGAGCCTAATGGAGGCAAGTCAGGCCATGGGGATGTGTCCTTGAAGGGGATAGTGGGAATCTGGCCCCTTCCTCTCTCTCTCTATCACTTTCTGGCTGCCATGAGGTGAGTAGCTTTGCTCCATCATGTGCTCCCGCCGTGATGTTTGGTCTCTTCACAGGCCCAAGATCAGTGGAACCAAAGGACCACGAACTAAAACTCAGAACTTGGAAAATAAAACTTTCCTTCCTATAAGTTGCTTATCTCAGGTATTTTGTCACAGTAACAGAAAGTTAGCCTATTGGAGTCATTCCATAACGCTATTCCTACAATAAGGCTGTAAGATGAATCAAGATCTGTACTCCGAGGATCGTAATATTAATAGAGAGAAAGGAGTAACTCCAAGAGGCAGTTTTAAGGGCATGGAAACAGGAATGTACCAAAATTGTGTAAGATTCTTGCTTTACATGTATCATTTTCCTTAATTCTCAAAACAGCCTTTCCAAAATGTATTGTTTTTCCAGTTTCGAGATAACTGAGCTTAGTGACTTATTAAATAAATTACACAAGATCAAACAGTGGAACCAAGGTTAGGAACGGGCAGGTTGAGTGGGTGGTGGATTAAGGTGAATCAAAGTGTTCTCATTTCTTGACTTTGCAAGGCTGCATTTGCATTTTTATTGTGCTTTGTGCTCCCAGGTCTGAGAACCTCATGTTGATCTGTGTAAGATTATGTGTCAAAGACAAAGGCTGAGTAGCTAGCCCTGAAAACAGGATGCAACGGCCAGTTTGGGTTTGTATCCTTAAAACTCAGCATCTGGTTTGAGATAAATGAAAGGCGAGTTTCTGATACGAAATAAGTCTCAAAAAGACTGATAAAGAGCAATTGCCTGCTGGGTGAGGCAAGTTTACTCCACTAAGTTTGCTCTCAGTGTGTTCTTCGGGTAGCTGTGACCTCAAGCTGGAGACTGACCAGAGGTCTCCAGAGCAGAGGGAGCCCATGGAGTTCTAAACAGGATCCTTGTGCCCAGAGGAACAGGGTCACCCACTCGTGCAATTTAGAAGCAGCATGAAATAAACGTGGAGCACCAGGGTTAGAGAGCAAAGATGGGTTGGGAGTCGACACTATAGATCCAGATTTAAATCCAGATTTTTAAAACTAGGAAACTCTCTTTCTAAAGAGAAAAGCAAAGCTTGCAGTCTCGTTCCATTACCCACCGGTGCCTTTGAGCCATGAACTTTCCCCCACTTCTGAAACTTCTCTGGAAAATTCATTTCATGCTTGTCTACTCCAGTAACACCCTTGACTGAACTGTTACCAAACAGGAGACTTGGCTGAGGGAATGTGAGAAATCTCTTGATAGGTTGGAGCCAGTTGGCACCCTTGAGAGCCATGTGCTGTGACCTTCGCTTTACCTGTAATCTGGGACCATGACCTTCTCCCAGCAGAGGGGACTTTCTGATTATTCCTGTGCCAGGTGCCTGGGAAGCAGACACGGCACATGTGTCACATTCTTTGACACACTAAAAATGTCTGTTAGGCTGAGGGAGGGACACAGGGGCCCTGGCTTCAGAGCCCTGCATCCACCTGCGTCTGGGGGGCTGTCCTAGGAGACCGGCTTGGTAGCCCTCAAATCTCCCTGAGAGCCTCAATTTGGATTCTTTCCCTTATAAGACCAGGTCTCCACCAGCTAACTTACTGCTGCTAAGGCTGCCCTCAAACCAATGTGATAAGCATCCCTGTCTCCTTCACTGTACATTTTTTTCCCCAACTGTCTTTTTATGCATCCTTAGACGACCACCTTCCCATTTATAACAATGCTTCTTTCAGAATTCAGCTTTTCTCAAGTTCTCAGCCTCTTACCCTCAGAAAATGATCTAATTTCTTCCTCCCCCGAGAAAAGGTTTTCAGCAAAAACTTACCGAGCACTAATGCGAAGCAAGAAATGTGCGAAGTCGCTTGGCACAGAGGCACACACCTGTAATCCCAGGGACTCCGACGCTGAGGAGGAGGAGTGCAAGTTCAAGGCCAGGCTTGAGGACTTAACAAGACCCTGTCTCTCGATGAAAAATAGGAAGTGTGTAGGGGTGCAGTTCAGTGTAGAGTATCCCTGGGTTCAATTGCCAACACCACACACACACACACACACACACAAACACACACACAACATACACAAAAGAATTGTGTTTAGACCCTGGAATATAAAGACAAATACAATATCATCTTTGCCCTGGAGGGGTTTATGGCTGGGAAGAGGAAGATAGACACAAAGTCAAGGGAGGGTACTCAAAGGGCAAAGGTGGGTGGGGTGGGGGAAAGTCATCAGTTCCACCTAGGAGGGCAGGAAACGCCACATGAAGACCACTTGAGATATTAAAAAGTATTGGTAGAAAAATGATAGGTAAGAAGGTGATATGTTAATTAGCTTGACTTAATCATGCCTCACACTGTTTGCTCTACGTATTGTGCTCCGTAAAAGTGTACAATTATGATTTGTCTGTCAAAAATAATATCATGAATAGATTTTTTTAAAGTCCAGCTGGGGGATAAAAGCAGGAGGGACACCATGAAATGGGAGGGAGACCAAAGGAATGGAGAGGGGGAGGGGATGAGGGGCCAGGGACGAGGAAGGGCCGGAGACGAGAGGGGCAGGAACAGCAAACTTGGGTTGAGCAAACGATGCTGTGTGCATGCGTGAATTCCACCTTTATGTATCTCTGTAAAGTACCAGCATATAAAAGTAATAAATAGACAGGGGAAGGTCAGGAAGTGGAGAAAGGGGAACAGGGAGGGAGAGAGAAGGGGACAGAGGAGCAGGAGGTACTAGGGACTGAAATGGAACAAATCATATTTCATGCATGTGCAATTATGCCCAAGTGAGGCCCTCTGTTGTGTACAGCTATAATGCACCGATAAACAATGTGGGGGGAAATGTGACCTGGGACAAACTGCTGAAAGTCCCTTCCCCCTGATCCCTAAATCGTTTCGAGCTGTAAATAATCTGAACTGTTTTCTTCCTGTCTCATAAAAACGGTGTCTACTCTCTTCTCAGGCTAACACCTCACATGGCTCTTAAAATATCAGTTTTATCTTCCAATGTGAAAGTGAGGTAAAAAGAATGTCGGAAGAAATACAATCCGTCAACAAACATATGAGAAAGTGTTCATCATTTCTAGCAATTAGAGAAAGGCAAATCAAAACTACTCTAATATTTCATCTCACTCCAGTAGGATGGCAGTTATCAAGAATACAGGCAACAATAAGTGTTGGCAAGGATGTGGGGGAAAGGCACACTCATGCACTGCTGGTGGGCCTGCAAATTGGTGCAACCACTATGGAAAGCAGTATGGAGATTCCTTAGATAACTTGGAATGGAACCATCATTTGATCCAGCTATCCCACTCCTCGGTTTATATCCAAAGGACTTAAAATCAGCATGCAGTGACACAGCCACATCAGTGTTTATAGCAGCTCAATTTACAATAGCTAAACTAAGGATCAACCTAGGTGCTCTTCATGGGTGAATGGATAAAGAAACTGTAGTATATGTACACAATGGAATATAACTCAGCCTTAAAGAAGAATGAAATTATGTAAATGGATGGAACCAGAGGCTATCATGCTAAGCAAAATAAGCCGATCCCAAAAAATTAAAGGGCGAATGTTTTCTCTGAAATGTAGATGCTAATTCACAATGTGGAGGGTGGCAAGGGAAGAATAGAGGTACTTTGGATGAGTCAGAGGGGAGTGAAGGGAGGGGAGGGGGTACAGGGGTAGGAAGGACGGTAGAATGAATCGGACATTATTACCCTATGTGCGTATGTGATTACACAACCAGTTCTACATCACATGCAACCAGAAGAATAAGTTGTACTCCATTTATATATGCAGTGTCAAAATGCATTCTATTGTCGTGTATAACTAATTAGAACAAATTTTTTAAAAAAAGAATGGCAAAAATACTCTGAAACAATAACAGAAAATTTTAAGAGATAAAAAATTCTCTCTTGACTCAACCAACTTCTTAATAGTCCCACCATCATCCATTTTTTAAATTTATATGGCACAGAATGCATTAGGATTCCTTATTGCACATATACAGCACAATTTTTCATATCTCTGTGTATAAAGTATGTTCACACCAATTCATGTCTTCATACATGTACTTTGGATAATAATGTCCATCACATTCCATCATCATTTCTAACCCCTTGCCCCCTCCGCTCCCTTCCCACCCCTCTGTCCTATCTAGAGTTCGTCTATTCCTCCATGTTCCCCCTCCTTACCCCACTATGAATTAGCCATTTTATATCAAAGAAAACATCAGGCATTTGTTTTTTGGGGATTGGCTAACTTCACTTAGCATTATCTTCTCCAACTCCATCCATTTACCTGCAAATGCCATGATTTTATTCTCTTTTATTGCTGAGTAATATTCCATTGTGTATATATGCCACAATATCTTTTCCTGTATTTCTAAAGTAGCTGTGAGTTTAGTGGTGTGTTCTTCATCCATCCTTTGTCTATCCCCTGCCTCTGGGAACCGACTCCTTCCAATTTGGCATCTTGACCTTCTTTGCATTCACATCCTTCCTCACTCACATTTCATCTCCCTAAAACAAAGGAAGCTCAACTGTCTCCGTAGCCTTCACACACGTTCCTAGAAGTTCCCCAATGACCTACTGAGGAAGCCACCCCACTGTCCTTCTTTCTCCAGTCCCTAACCTGTCCACCTCTCCCAGAGCTCTTTCTACTTTTTTCTCTTCCTTGTGGAAGTTCCTCCTCCTCTGCCTGCCCTTTATAGACTAGTGACTCCCGGGGTCTTCCACACGGCCACGCTCTCTTGATACCCTGGAAGCTCCTCTGGGGCTCTCTCTCTGGCTTTGCATAGTCACGTCCAGATATCTTGCCTGAATTCAGTCTCACTTGCAACTTACCACTGGACCTCTTTACCCTAGAAGCTTCTAGCTCAACCCCTATAAGCCAGATTTCCATCCTAAGTCCTGGACTTCAGCCAACCATACCAAAAAAAGACGCTATCTTAATTTCCTACCTTCATTAGTCTTGTACATTCTTCCTGCAAAATGAATCCCAAGCCTGTCACTCATTTTCACCGCCTCTTTGTAAAATCAGACACGACTGTCTATACCCTGGTTCATTAGACAGACTCCTCATGAAGTTCCTGCTTTCAATTTCTTTCACGATACTTTTTCTCCCATGCTACGTCATAAATTATATTTCTCAAATGTAGTTATTGTCAAAAACTTCACTTCCATAATTAAAAATTGTTGATGGTCTTTCATTGTCTGCATTAAAATCCAAATGTCTTACCTAGCACTCAGGCAGTGTGGGATTTGCTCCCAATCTGCTTTTTCTAACTCGTTTCTTTCCTATGCGTTCCCCGTACATCCTCAGATGTAAGCACAGGCAGCTACTATAGGCTCCCCTACTGCCCACAAATGCCATGAATTCTGACAGTGCCAGGGACTTACCATGGTTTCCTCTTTTCCTGGAATGCCTTGTGCATTTGATGAAATTATATCCATGCTTCTAAGTCCAGCTCAAAGGCCACCCTCTCTGTGAAGTTCCCCAACCCTTGCTTTTTCCTGCCCCTTAGGAAATGAGTCACTCTCCCCTATGAGTCTGCAGACCAGAATGGTTCCAAAACCTGGCTGAGCACTGGAATCAACTGAGAAGTTTTGAGAAAATATTGATACCTGGGCCTTACCTCCCACATCACGCACCAGGACATCTGAGAATAAGCCTGTGCAGTAGTAATCTCTTTTTCAAAAATCTTTGGTGCTAAAATTTACAAAACATAAAGTTTACTGTCTTAACCATTTTTAAGTGTACAGTTCAGTAGTATCAAATATATCTATAATTTGTGAATCCATTTCCGGAACTCTTCTTCTTGCAAAACTAAAACTCTGTAGCCATTAAACAACTACTGCACATCCTCCCTCCCTGGAAACCATCATTCTGCTTTCTGTCTCTGATTCTAACTATGTTAAATATCTCATATAAATAGAATCTTGAGTATTTATCTTTGTGTTACTGGATTATTTCGCTCAGCTTAATGTCCTCTAGGCTCACTCATGTTTGTAACATGTATCAGAATTTCCTTCCTTTTGAAGACTGAGTAATATTCCATTATATCATAGACCACCTTTTGTTTTTCCACTTCTCCATCAATGCACACTTAGGTTGCTGTCATACTTCTGCTATTGTGGAATAATACTGTTATGAAGTTGAGTATACAAATATCTGTTCAAGACCTTCCTTTTAATTCTTTTAGATTGCTGTACCCAGAATTAGAATCCTTGGATTGTAAGGTAATTCTGTTTAATTTTTTGAGGACCCACCATACTGTTTTCCGTAGCACCTTTACCATTTCACATCCCCATCCACAGTGCACATGTCCTCTAATGTCCCCATATCCTCAGTACTTGGTATTTACTTTTTTGGTACCAGGGATTGAACCCAGGGGTGCTTAACCACTGAACCACATTCTCAGTCCTATTTTATATTTTATTTAGTGACAGGGTCTCACTGAGTTGCTTAGTGCCTGGCTTTTGCTGAGGCTGGCTTTGAACTGGCGATCCTCCTGCCTCAGCCTCCCAAGCCGCTAGGATTGCAGGCATGTGCCACTGTGCCCGGCAACATTTGTTATTCACTTAAAAAAATTGGTTTTTGATAGTAGCCATCCTGTTGAGTGTGAGTCATTAATAATTGTTTAAATAGGATCTCAGGTGCTTAGAATTTGTTCAAATCTTGATTCCTGGCCCACTCTCATCATTGACCACGCATGTGCCATTCTTAATTGACTCTTAATAGTATAACAAACATGTGTGAACCCACCACCTGATTTAAGAGTCCAAATATTAAAAGCAACTTGCTACCCATGTCACCTTCCTCTGTGACATCTATTTGCCCACACGAGAGACAACCACTTTATCCTGAAATTTTTGTCTTCATTTGAAAAACCATTCTATTATATATGTAAATGTATGGGTTCCTAAATCACATATTGTTTATCTTTGTTCTTTGAACTTTATTCATAAAACATACGTATGTCTCCAGGTATTGTCATTTTCCCAAAGCTCCAGGTGATGCCCATGCACAGGCTGGGGACAGCCACTATCAGGGCACTTTCTATGGGGCCTCTCTGCCAGCTCCTTGGGTCAGCCCTGTGGACCACCTGACTGGCCTTCCTTCAGCTCTGGCTCTAGG